GGGCAGGATTGTTCCTTACTCTGCATTGATGTGTCAGATTTGCTTTAATTGTCCCAAGCAATGGGCCTCTGGAGTGGCCCTAGCCAGTTTGCTGGTCAGAGCAGAAAATACTTGCAGCAATTCCCCTCATCCAGCCCCTCCCCCAACACCAATCATCAGAGCCAAAACGTTTCAAAAAGCTGAGTGTCACTGAGGTACAGCGCCTAAGATAGCAACCATCCTGCTTCGCTGGCCCCAGGGCTTCCAACCTCTCCTTGGGTGACTCGGCATAGCCTGATACCCCTCACTGCCTGGAAGCGTCTCCTAAAGTTCACCCCAAAACTTCCTTTGCTTCATCTCTCTCCATTAGCCCCACCCCCCAGCTGTGTCCTCGCCTCCTTTGGGGTTCACACCCTGTAAGTATCTGCAGCAAGCTCCATCCTCACTGAGCCATCTCCTAGCTCTGTGGGCTTTAGGGTTGCCAGATGGTTTCAGAAGGAATACCCAACGACTCTGGCAGCAGTTACTAAGTGCAAAAAAAAAAAAAAAACCACCATGGCCCCTTTAAAAACTGAGTGGTGTGGCTTTTTGGCCCTAGCAGGCTGCTGGCAGCTGCCCGCCATCTTGCCTCCTGCCCCTGGGCCGGGCAGCTCCCCTGAAGAACCCGGTAAGCACTAGGGTTGCCAGGCTGCTCCGGATTGAGCCGGACAGCCTGGGGTTTTCACCTCCTGGCCGGGAAAAAATCAAAACGTACTAAACATTTTGGCTACATCTAGACTGGCCCCTAATTCCGGAAAAGTCATGCAAAGCAGGTAAGTCAGAATAGGGAAATCCGCGGGGGATTTAAATATCCCCTGCGGGATTTAAATAAACATGTCCGCCGCTTTTTTTCCGGCTTGGGGAAAAGCCGGAAAAAAGCGTCTAGACTGGCGCGATCCTCCGGAATAAAGCCCTTTTCTGAAGGATCTCTTATTCCTACTTTCACGTATTTACTAAACATTTTGCCTACTTTCAAGTAGGAATAAGAGATCCTCTGGAAAAGGGCTTTATTCCGGAGGATCGCGCCAGTCTAGACGCTTTTTTCCGGCTTTTCCCCAAGCCGGAAAAAAAGCGGCGGACATGTTTATTTAAATCCCGCAGGGGATATTTAAATCCCCCGCGGATTTCCCTATTCTGACTTACCTGCTTTGCATGACTTTTCCGGAATTAGGGGCCAGTCTAGATGTAGCCTTTAGGTGTCTGGTATTTTCTGAACCTTTTTACCTGACAGGAGGCGAAAATACTGGACTGTCCAGCTCAATATCGGACACCTGGCAACCCTAGTGGGCTTCACACTTGCCACGCCTCCTCCTTCAGCCAGCCCCGATCCTTTCAGATGCTTTTTCTGGACCCCGGACGCTGAACCCCTCCAGCTTGTCACCGACAGGACATGATCCTACAAGACACGGGCGGCAGCTCGGCCGAGAGGAGGAGGAGCCCCACGAGGAGGAAGATGCCCACTGACTTCATGGTGCTTTTATCTCAGGAGACAGGTCTGAATGCCCAGAGCTGTGTCAGGCCGGTATTTAAAATCTCACTCCCGAGGGGTGCGGGGGAGCGAGAGACGGGAGCAGAGATTGCGGTATCTCGTCTATGCCAGTATTTGACCCCCTTGCCTGTGTCATTTCACAGTCAGTTCCTGTGCCTTCCTGGAGCTCTTTGCACAAGAAAAAAAAGTGATGGACTCATTGCTGGAAAGAGAGAAATTCTCCCCTTGCTCCAGAGCCTGCTGCACACTGGCGACGCATGAGGGGGTGCTGAGGGCCCCCCCCCCAATGCTGTGGGTGGATGGGGCAAGGGGCCAGAACCTCTGAGTAGCCCAAGGGACTAGCGGGGTGGAGGCGGGCGCCCAGAGCAAGAACCAGGCCTCCTGGCACTCCCCAGCAGTGTATGGGGGGGGGGGAAGCCGAGCAATATGGCTCCACTCACAGGTGGCTGGCCGTGTCACTTGAGGAATGGGCAGGCCAGCCCTCACCAGTGGGACGTGGAGCAACATGGCTGGCAGTCAGAGCAGCAGGCTCAGGTCACGTTGCTCTGTACCCCTTCTCCCCCGACCCTCTGCCGCTGCCAGTGAGTGCAGAGGGTCCGACCCCTGCTGTTGGCGCCAGGCCCCCCCAAGGCTGCATCGCTCAAGGGGAGGGGTTAGGGGGAATAGGGGGGGCAGAGCAGGAGCGGGGAAGAGGCGAGGCCGGAGCAGGGCCTGGGGCGGAGGAGGCATTGCTCTGGGCCTTCTCCGGTGGTGCGTGGAGGCATCACGAGGCAGTGGGCAGTCAATGGGGCCATGCCCGTTGTGTCCTTCCTCACCAGTCGCCTCTGGCTGCAGAGTCAGTTTCAGTGTGGCCGTGGGGACAAACTCACATACAGGGGGAGTGTGAGAGAGGCCCCAACAGAAACCTTGTCCCAGACAAGACAGAAGCCAGTAAACTATTGATTTTTGGGGAGAAGCCTTTGTCTGAGGGAGGGGACTGCATGCACCCCTCTGCTCTCAGCTCACAAGACAGATGCTGCCAGCTCCAAGCTATAGCTTCCCCCTTCCCCATCTCTCTCCCCCACCACAGCCAAGTGGCTTTGAGACCCCACCTGGACTGGGGATGTACTTCCCTAACTCC